CTTTTTGAAACTGCTCAAAGCCCATTCGATAATCTATTTACAGAAAGAAATTAAGAGGGTTGGGCGTGGTGGCTCACACCTGTAATCCCAGCACTTTGGGAGGCTGAGGCAGGTGGATCGCTTGAGGTCGGGTGTTTGGGACCAGCCTGACCAACATGATGAAACCTGTCTCTACTAAAAAAAAAAAAAAAAAAAAAAAAAAAAAAAAAAAACTATCCCGGGGTGGTGGCACGTGCCTGTAATCCCAGCTACTTGGAAGGCTGAGGCAGAAGAATTGCTTGAACCTGGAGGTTGTAGTGAGCCGAGATCCCGCCATTGCACTCCAGCCTGGGCAACAAGAGTGAAACTCTTTCTCAAAAAAAGAAAGGTTTTTTTTAAAGGATACTTTTGAGGATCCCACAGTCTCCACACTTCCAGTTGATGGTTTATGCTTAAGTGACAGCATAGCTTGTAACGGAAAGTGAGTGATTTAAGCTCTTCTTGTTACGCCACTTTCAATAATTGCAGTTCTTGACATACATTCCCCTCTGTCGTAAGAGCCTTGTGGATGTTCGTTCATTTGTCTGCTCTGTTTTCCTTGGCACCCTGGGTTTCTCCTTGTCCCATGAGGGTTTTAGACAGCCACAGCCTGTTTGCTAGCTCAGCACCTCAGTGCCAGTGCCAGGGCCAGAGCCCGGCCCAGCCAGTCTTCTGCAAGGCTCACTGGGGTCACTCATGCAGTTGTGGCCTGAGGCAGCCTTGCTCTTGTGTTATCGGATGGTACCTTGGCTGCCCACTCAGTGGCAGGCCAGAGCTCTGCAGGGGAGAGATCCCCCGGGACAGGCTCTGTGGTAAAGAGCTTGTCAGACTGGTACTTGCTTCCCGTTATCCCATTTGCTATGATATCCCAGAGGCCAAAAAGTCACATGGCTAAGCCTGGAGTCTTCGAGGGACTGTAGAAGGGTGTGGCTGCCAGCAGGCATGAGAGGGGCAGGGCAATTAACATCCTACCACCGTAGGCTTGTGAGGTACTTTGTTTTCTACCTGTAAATAACAAGTTCAATTTTGGTAGCTTATATTCTGCGTTGAACTCGGTTTGATGAACGTTTTGTAGTGCTGGATGCCAGAGGTTGAAGAATAAGGCAGTCTCCAGCTACTCTGCTAGTTCATAAAATGCTTGTGATCTCAAGTTCTAAGCAGACAGCATCCTGGTAAGGCTTTGGCTTTGGACTAAAAAAGACAGGAACTGTTTATAAGAATCTCTGCTGGGGCCAGATTTTGCTTTCAGAAATGCTGTTAAGTTCTTGAAAAAAGAAAGGGTTGCTATGATGACTTGGCTCTGGGCCTGCAAACTGTAGTGATGACATAGTCACCGAGGAAACCACGAGATGCAGCGTCTGAAAGGCCTCCGAAGGGTTTTGTTACTGTCGTCTGGGATCTGATTGGCTTAGACTGTGTTTGGATGGGAGCAGAAAGCTGGAGCTTGCTGTCCTGCTGAAACCTCTAGGACCTGCTGCTGAGTGCTTTGGAGATCACCTACTTACTGGGACCTTGGTTTAAAAAGGGGGAGAGTTAGGGTAATTTCTAGGTCATTGTGAGATTTGACTCTGATGTTTGTGCGGCTGTAAAACAGGAAATGAGGTAATGCCTTTAAACATGTAGTGTGATAATGAACTGTAAATGTCTAAATATGGGCAACTGCAGTTCAGATTGCAGAGCTGCTGTGTTGAGTTTTTATGTAACTGGGTACGTTCCATGTTGGCTCCTTGGATCCTTAAAGGTATGCATGAGTTTTAAAGTCTAGAGGCCCATCTGCCTGCTGACGTTGGACTCTGTGTGGTTCTGTTTGAAACTGTAAAGGAGCCACACCAGAGCTGCAGTTAAGGCCAAGAAAGAGGTTTTGAGCACTTAAGCCAGCCACAAACCACCCTGGAGTGCAAGCTGTGGCCTGTTACGTAAGTGTTGTGGACAGGGATATCTTGATCTTTTGGGAAACTTTGAAATCACTTAATTTTGGAGTTAAATATAGCCTACAAAAGTTTAATTTGTTCATACTGTTTTTGAAGATGTGTAAATGCAATATTCAGGTCTTGAATTTCTAACCATAACCATGTATATATGGAGAATCAAAAGCAGTTGAACAGGAATTGAATGAACTGGAGGTCGATTTTTAAAGTTCTTTACTATGGTCACAGTTTTGGGCATGTGGTTTTTTGGGGTCACTGGAATATTTAGAAATATTCTAAAATGTCGTGTACAGAAGGCTGAGCTAAACAAGCCCTTCTCATAGGTGGGGAGGAGTCACTATTTGGAAGTGATGTGAATTATTTTGGGGGGCAGGAGTAGGGGGCACTTGGATTAGTCAGCTGATGAGCCCTCTTATCGTCACCTTCCAAATAGGATTGAACAGGAGTGGCTTCTGAGTCTTGCCCTGCAGCAGGAGGCCAGGAATAGACATGTGGGGGCAGCCTCGTTCACAGGCCAGAGCATGAGCTATTTGACTTGAAGGTTCCAAGTTCCAGAGTACTTGCATACGAGAGTCCTGAGCTTTCGAAACTCGGCCCATTAGCAAGAATCCATGTTTTATAGTTGGTAAAACTGAGGATTGGTGAATAGTTAAGTCAGTCATTGAAATCTCAGGGCTGGGGTCCAGAGTTGCTTATATTATTATTTTGTGGTGGCGGGATTATATTATACAGTGGAGAACCTCAACATTTCTTACTTTCCTTAGAAAGTATCTAGCAGATTAAAAACAAGAACAATTTGCTGTTTGATGACTCTGATGTTAACTCCTCAGTGTGAAGGAATGCTAGCATTAGGGCCAAACACCAGCCCGCCTTCTGCCAGCCTTTATCTGGGGCGAGTTACAGACACCTGTGAGCCTGGTTTTCTTTGCCTGCGGACTGTGGTTTCTTAGCATTTGGGGGAAGGTCATAGACACCTTGAGGAAGCCATGAACTATCCCTGGGCAAAATGTATGCATGTACTTAGTTGTGTACATTTTCAGGGGATAAGCGGGATCCCTTTTAGCTCTGCAATCTAATGATATTTATGGACTGATTAAGCATTGTTTCCTTACCTGGGAAATAACTTTTGATGACCTGATACTAGTGGCAGGGTGTGTGTGTGTGTGTGTGTGTGTGTGTGTGTGTAAATTACACGTGAAAAAGTAATTTTTCAGCTGGGCGAGGTGGCTAACGCCTGTAATCCCAGCACTTTGGGAGGCCGAGGTGGGTGGATCATAAGGTCAGGAGATCAAGACCATCCTGGTCAACATGGTGAAACCTCGTCTCTGCTAAAAATACAAAAATTAACCGGGTGTGGTGGTGCATGCCTGTAGTCTTAGCTATTAGGGAGGCTGAGGCAGGAGAATTGCTAGAACTTGGGAGGCAGAGGTTGCACTAAGCTGAGATTGCACCTCTGTACTCCAGCCTGGTGACAAACCAAGACTCCCATCTCAAAAAAGTAATTTTTCTTTTTGTCTGTCTCTCTCTTTCGTTTTTTTTTTTTTTATTTTTTTTTTTTTTAAGAGAGGGTCTTACTCTGATCCAGGCTGGAGTTCAGTGGCATGATCGTGGCTCACTGCAGCCTCAACTTCCCAGGCTCAGGTGATTTTTCCCACTTAGCGTCCCAAGTAGCTGGGACTGCAGGTGAGCACCACCATGCCTGGCTAATTTTTATATTTTGTGTAGAGATGGGGTTTCGCCATGATGCCCAGGCTGGTCTCGAACTTCCCACCTCAGCCTTCCAGAGTGCTGGGATTACAGATGTGAGCCACCATACTCTGCCAAAGTGATTTTCAGCCAGTGCTGGTTTGGATGTGGCAAAGCAAGCACTGATGCATTCTGGTGACCGCTTTTCTGGAAAGCTGTTTGGTGGTATGTGCTAAGATATTTTACAGTGTTCGTACTCTTTAACTTAGCAGTTCTCAGAAATCTCTCCTAAATAATTTCACAATATACAGGCTTTGTGCACTAAGCCAGTCATCAGAGTGTTATACTAACATTCTGCATCAGAAATGATCAGTAAGAGAATTCATATGTGTACATTACACTTAGGTTTATGAATAGTTTTTAATAACATAAAGAAATGTATTTTAGCCAGGCGCTGTGGCTCGTGCCTGTAATCCCAGCTCTTAGGGAGGCAGAGGTGGGAGGATAGCTTGAGCCCAGGAGTTTGAGACTTGCCTGGGCAATATAGCGGGACCCCGTTCTCCACAAAAAGGAAAAAAACAAAAAGACCAAAAAAAAAAAAAATGTATTTTAATGCATGAAAAAGTAGGATATGCAGTGTTCTCAAATTACGTCAACACATTTGTTTGTTTACGTATTGATATATATTTGAGACGGAGTCTTGCTCTGTTGCCCAGGCTGGAGTGCAGTGGTGCAATCTCATTGAGTTGCAACCTTCACCTCCTGATTCAAGTGATTCTCTTGCCTCAGCCTCTGGTGTAAACACTTTTAAAAGAGAGTAGAAGGAATATATAAATGTTAACAGTTATTGCTGAAAGATCATAGAATTGTAGGGAAAACCTTATTTTTCTGTATTTTTCCTTGCTTACAATAGATATTATTTCTAGAATTGGAGGGAAATGTGATTTTAGAAAATTTTTATTTTTTATTTTTGAAACTAGTCACTCTGTTGCACAGGCTAGAGTGGAGTGGAATGGCATGGCCACGGCTCATTACAACTTCCCAGGCTCAGGTGATCCTCCGACCTCAGCCCTCATAGTAGCTGGGACTATAGGCATGTACCACCATGCCCGGCAAGTTTTTTTTTTTTTTTTAAATATAGACACAGGATCTTGCTGTATTGCCCAGGCTGGTCTGGAATGCCTGAGCTCAAGCAATCCACCTTGGCCTCCCAAAATGCTGGGATTACAAGCATGAACCACCACGCCTGGTCTGATTTTGGAAAAATTAAAGAATCTGGAGATAGCTTGGTAATAGAGACCTAGATGGTTTGGGATTCCTATTTTATGTAAGGTAAGAATTGGCTTTTTGCTTGGATGACTTCTTTAGACTGGATTTCAGTATGGCCAAGGGGAGGACTGGTGTTTGGAGCCAGTGCTGGTGCCGAGAAGGGCCATACCCCAGCCCAGTGCTCTGCACCTCACAGAGTGCTAGTTGGCTTCCTGTGAAAAACCACCTCTGACTTCACTTTTTTGTGCTGCTTGCTGTGTTTTGCTCCTGTGATAAGCCGTTTGTGTTCCTGTGCACTGGAAGTTCTTCTAGAGCGGTGTGGGAAGAGACCTCAAAACCCCCAGCATGGAGCCCACGGATCCCCCTCCTCCATCTGTGCCCCTGCATGTGTGTTTTCCTTCTGTGCTGTCCCATGCAGAACAGCCAGAGTCTAACTAGCCTGATGAGTCACATGGGATGAGGAATGGTGGTTTAGGATACATTTTGGATGTATGTCATTTGCGTGTGACATTTTTCAGGTATTCTAATTTAAATAAAGATCCAGGACCTTTGATTTTAATTCTAGCCTTAACTCTCTTCCAGGGGATGAATACAAATTTTAACCTAGGAATTAGAAGTCACTTCTGACAAATTTTTCTCTTTAGAATTCACAGATGGATTCAGTGGAAAAGACAACAAATAGAAGTGAACAAAAATCCAGGTAATTAAAGGCAACTGTACCTTCCAGGAGCTTCATTGACTTCATCTAGCATCCGCTGTGAGACTGCTTACCTGTTCTTTAGTACCTGCAAAGGCGAAAGTGAAATGAAAACATTGGGGCACAAGGGGACCTCGAGGGCCATTTACTAGTCTTTGCTTCAGTGTAGGAAACATTCCAGAAGCCAGTTTTCTGTCCAAGGATGCGGCCATAGTCCAGCCTCCAAACCCAGCAACATGTAATTAGAGGGACCATGTCTCTAACTGGAAGGGTCGTGCTTCCCAGGAAATAATTTTTTGACTATAGATGGACAGCAGGCTGTGTTTGTTGTGAAGTGAAGCGCAAGAAAGGGACTTACTGTAGAATGGGTTAGGATTGGAGAAAACCAGCATTTTGCCGGTCACTTTCTTATCTGTCACTGTTAAGCAGGGGTCATTTTGTCATCATGATGTGTCTTCATAAGCTGTGTGCAGCTGCAAAGGAATGAAAATTGCTGAACTTTTTGTTCACAAATATATATCAATTCGACATGATCTTAACATTGGGCAACTTAAGATGCATGAGACATAGCTCTCCCACATCCTTTAAGGAATCAGGATAGAACATGTAAAATAAATACATGAAGAAAGACACACAGGCAGTGTCCCCAGAGTGTTAAGAGGGGAGCATGTGTGTGTGCGTGTCCACGCACAGCACAAGGCCTGCCTGAACTCACTTTGTGTCTGCAGTTTCCACTTTGACTTTCATTCTCTCCCTCCCTTGTTTTCAAGTAGAAAGTTTTTAAAAAGCCTCATCCGGAAGCAGCCCCAGGAACTGCTCTTGGTTATCGGGACTGGCGTCAGCGCAGCCGTGGCCCCAGGAATCCCTGCCCTTTGCTCGTGGAGAAGCTGCATCGAGGCCGTCATTGAGGCTGCAGAGCAGCTGGAGGTGCTGCACCCCGGGGACGTTGCCGAGTTCCGGAGGAAAGTGACCAAGGATCGCGACCTGTTGGTTGTTGCCCATGATCTGATCCGGAAGATGTCACCTGTAAGTGTCAGACAAGTACCTCTGGTTTCTTCGGGACAACTTGGTTCTGCACCAGGCTGGATGAGCCTGTGAACCTAATGATAACTCCTGCAGGCCTGTCTTGTGTTCAGTGCTCAGCAGAGTTGGGCTATTGAGCCAGAACTCTTGAGTCCATCGGAGAGTCATCTTTTAAAATTGAGGGATGCCAGGCACAGTGCAGTGTGGGGCTCCTGAAGCAGCTCCTGATAAATGGAGCCTGACCGTGTGAGACTGTCTTAGGGAGGTCGTCAGCTGCACTCAGTATGAACTTTGTGATTTTATATTCAGTGAAGGAATAGCCCTTAGGCATGTGTGGTTTAAGCAGGCCAGCCACATTTCTTCAGATGACAAGTGCTTCCTAAAACATTTAAGATGGGAGAGGTTCTAGCTTCTTTGTCTGCGGTGGAGATGATCTAGTTGAGAGGAGAAGCAGCTGGTGACGCAGGAGTTGTTCCTGAGCAAGGCCTGGTGCTGAAGGGTCTGCTGCAGGGCGAGGTATGCGGCAGGCCACTGTGGTCCCAGGTCAGCCATGGCGTGTGGACAGAAAGGCTGGGATGCTGGATGGTGTGGCCCAAGCTCTTTGCAGTCATTGTCTTCCACTCTTGTATTTACTGAAGAGGCTCAGTCACCATCTGAGAGTCAGGATGGGAGGAGATGTTGGAGGTGTGAACATAGAGGAGGAAGCAGGAAAAAAGGTGAATTCATCACCAAGGAGAGTGTGAGAGTTGAGGCTAGCTGGGAAAGGATCCCCGAAGCCATGCGGCTTCATGTGAGCACTTTCATAATTCCCACCCTAGAGACCACGTGGGCAGCCCAGGGAGAACATGGTGGTTGGGCAGGGCCCTTCTGTGCTGGCAGCTTCCATCTGGCGCTCTGCGGGCAGCTGTACTGTGCTTGCTCAGGGAGTGCGTGGAAGAGGGGGAGGAAGGGAAGTCGGGGGCTGCAGGGCTGCCACCGAAGTCACACACACCACTCCTGTTTCGTCTCATCTGCCAGACTTTCACATAGAGCTACACCTAGCTTTGCCAGAGCTTGGGAAGTGTTTTTAGTTAGGTGACTTTGCCACATGTGGGTGTTCTACTGATGAGGGATGAGTCTCATCAGAGGCCAGCGGTTGGAAGAGTACGGCCCTGGGCCTGTGTTTGTTTCCGTATAGTCTGGCTGCTTTCATGCCTCCAGGCAGAGGTGAGTCGTTGCATCAGAGACTTTATGGCCCACAAGGCCTGAAATATTTACTCTCTGGCCCTTATAGACAACATTTGCTGACCCTGTCACAGGAAGAAGAAGGGAGGAGTTGAAGAGAGGCTGGGAAAGGTAGTGGGGTCACTGGGCAGCATGGAGGGCCCTTGTTGTTGTTCATGTGGGGAGAGGCCGGCTAGAGTGAGAATCATTTGTCTTGAAAATGAGTGTTTGAGTTTCAAAAGTGAACCTCTTCTGTTCACTTCTGCTTGTTTTTGAAAGCCTCCATCAGGAGGTGTTGAAGTGAGGCCAGTCGACACAGCTGTATTGAGGGTTGGTTGCATCAGGAATTCCAGCAATACCAGAGAAGGGCGAGGGGCTTGAAAGTATTTGGGGGAGAGGGTGGTGTACAGACGTTACAGACGTAAGCTGCTTGACGGAGGAAGGCAGGACAGAGGGCAGCGCGTGACTGCTGTTGGTGGTAATAGGGTCGTAGCCCACGGGCCTCAATGGGCTTGAAGTTTCCGTGGGAACTAAGGTGCTAGAGAGGTGGGGAGCTGTGGGGGAGTGGTTGGACAGGGGAAGCTGGGCCAGAGGTTCTGGAAAGGATCCAGGTTCTGGGTAATGATGGGGTCTGGGGTGTGGCTGTATGTGTGGATGGCTGAGATGGGCCGGGACCATTGGAGGAGAGTGGTGGGAGGAGGCCATGATCCCAGGAAGGATCATCCAAGTGGACATGAGAGTCACCCCAAATGATGACAGAAGCACAGCTAGAGAGATTGCAGGGAGCCCGGAGCCGAGCCCCCAGCTTCATTGGTGCAGGGAGTGCAGAGGCACACTTAGAGCCAGGTCTCAGGTGGGGGAGAAGGTGAGCACTGCCAGAAGAGGGTGGAGCTGTGGGAGTTGGCTGATGGCAGACACGACCCACTGGGAGCAGCGGGGAGGGTTTTGGGGGGTGGGAGAGTCAGAAGAGCTGTGGGATGAGTGGGAACCCTTGAGTCTTGGGTTTGTTGTGCTGGCGGAGTGACACAAGCAGGCACAGAGGGTGAGGGGAGGGATTTTGATGCCCAGGTGCCAAGGCAGAGGGTGATGGTGAGGCTGAGAGCCGGGCAGAGGGGACACCCGGGGTCCCCCCGGGCCCACCCCCACCCTGTCTCTGTGACCCCTCCCAGCAAAGCTCTGAGGCACGGCTGTTGGATCTGCTGTCACCAGTTCCTTTTTCTCTTGAACCATCCAGCCAGGTTTCGGCTCTCAGGGCCCCTTAGAAGCAGCTTCTGTCGAGGCCACTGGAGACCACTGGGGCTGCCTCCGGAGGCCAGGCCTGAGTCCTGACCCTTTGGCTTCTCTCAGAGTATCTGCAACACTGCTGGTCAGGTGTGCTGGCTCACGCCTGTAATCCCAGCACTTCCAGAGGCCGAGGTGGGCAGATCACTTGAGGGCAGGAGTTCAAGATGAGCTGTGGCAACGTAGGAACACCTTGTCTCTACAAAAAAATTTTAAAAATTTTAGGCTGGGTAGGCTCACACCTGTAATCCCAGTACTTTGGGAAGCTGAGGCAGGTGGATCAGCTGAGGTCAGGAGTTTGAGAGCAACCTGGCCAATGTGGTGAAACTCCGTCTCTACTAAAAATACAAAAATTAGCCGGGTGTGGTAGTGCATACCTGTAATCCCAGCAACTTGGGAGGCTGAGGCAGGAGAATTGCTCAAACCCAGGAGGGGAGGTTACAGTGAGCCGAGATCACGCCATGACACTCCATCCTGGGCGACAGAGCAAGGCTCTGTCTCAAAAAAAACCTTTTTTAAAAATTAGCTAGGTGTTACGGTGTGCACCTGTAGTCCCAGCTACTTGGGAGGCTGAGGTGGGAGGATCCCTGGAGCCTGGGAGATCAAGACTGCAGTGGGCCATGACTGTGCCACTCACTGCACTCCACCCTGGGTGACAGAGTGAGACTGTCTCCAAAAAATAAAATAATAAGATGAAATAAAATAATATAAAATAATTAAAAAATAAATTTTTAAGGAAAGAGAATGAGCTGGGTGTGGTAGCGGCACCTGTAGCCCTGGCCACTCGGGAGGCTGAGGTGGGAAACCTGCCGGCGCCTAGGACTTGGAGGCTGCAGTGAACAACCCTGGCACCACCGTGCTCCAGCCTGAGTGACAAAGCATGACCCTATCTCAGAAAGAAAGAAAAAAGAAACGCTGCCTCCCGCCTCATTGGAGGTGCCATCAAGACACACAGCTTTGTACACCCCTTGGACTCCGCAGCTCTCAGGGAAAGCCAGTCTTTACTGTGGTCTTCAAGGCCCAGGTTATCAGGTTCTGCTGCTGACACTTCCCCTCACTCCTCTCCTGCCTCAGTGACCTCTGGCTGACCTTGGGCATACCTGAGCCATGACCTCCATGCTGCGGCCCTTGCTTTTCCCTCTGCTTAGGACATTCTCCAGGAGCCCTCGCCTCCTCAGGCCTCTGCTCAGGCTTCCCCTTCTCAGAGAGGCTTCCCTGGTGCCCTGGTCCTGTCCACCCTAACCCCACAGCGCCTGCCCCTGCTTCTGCTGTGCTTTCCCATGGCAGCATCACTGGTGGCGTGCTACACACGTGATGTCCGCTGGTCTGGAGTTTTAGTGCATTCTGTGAAGCCTCATTTTCTTTGTTTCCAGCTGCTGTGTGTCTGGCACCCAGAACATGGCCTGCTTACCTGCTGAGTAGTTGTTGAGGCTGATGTTTTTGAAATTTTCATTCCACCTTTCCATAGCGCACAGGCGACACCAAGCCCAACTTCTTCCAGGACTGCCTGATGGAGGTGTTTGACAGCCTGGAGCAGCACATCCAGAACCCTCTGGTGCTGCAGTCGATCCTCAGCCTGATGGAGAGGGGCACCATGGTCCTGACCACCAACTACGACAACCTGCTGGAGATCTTTGGCCAGCAACAGAACAAGCCCATGGAGTCTCTGGACTTGAAGGACAAGACCAAGGTATGGGCTGGGGCACGGGTGGGCTGTGAGTGTGTGGAAGCTCTGTGGGTTAGAGCAGCTTTCACTTTATAGCAGTGAATTAATAATAGAGGAACCAGGTGTGGTGGCGCCTGCCTGCAGTCCTAGCTACTGGGGAGGCCGAGGTTGGGAGGATCACTTGAGCCCAGGAGTTCCAGGCTGAAATGAGCTATGATCATGCCATTGTATTCCAGCCAGCCTGGGTGACAGAGACCCTTTCTCCTAAAAATAAGTAATAATGGGAGGTGGCACACTGGCAGCCTCTGGAATACTGTGCTCCATAGGAAAACAAGATGCTGGAATTAAAAGGCTGAGCTGGCCTCTCTCCAGGGCAGCTGGGAAATGATGGGGCAGTGTTCTGTGCATCTCAAGACTTCATATTTCCTGCTTTTATTTTTTATTTGCAGAGGCAGGGTCTTGCCGTGTTGCTCAGACTGGAGTGCAGTGGCACAATTGTAGCTCATAGTGTAATTCAGGCCATTCTCATACTGCCGTGTAAGAAATACCTGAGGCCGGCCATGGTTGCTCATGCCTGTAATCCCAGCACTTTGTGAGGCTAAGGTGGGTGGATCCCTCAGTCCAAGAGGTCAAGGCCAGCCTAGCCAACATGGCAAAACCCTGTCTTTACTAAAAATACAAAAATTAGCTGGGTGTGGTGGTGCATGCCTGTAATCCCAGCTACTCTGGAGGCTGAGGCAGGAGAATCGCTTGAACTGGGAGTTAGAGATTGCAGTGAGCCGGGATCACTGCACACCAGCTTGGGCAACAAGGCGAGACTGTGTCTCACAAAACAAAAGAAAATAAAATACCTGAGACAGGGTAATATATAAAGAAAGGAGCTTTAATTGGCTCACAGTTCCACAGGCTGTATAGGAAGCATAGCAGCATCTGCTTCAGGGTGGCCTCAGGAAGTTTCCAGCAGTGGTGGAAGGCAAAGTGGGAGTAGGCGTGTCACATGGCCACAGAGGAGGTGGCAGCAGGGAGGTGGCACACACCTTTAAATGATCAGATCTCTTAAGAAGTCACTATTATAAAGATGGCACTAAGCCGTGAGGGATGATCCAGCCCCATGATCCAAGCACCACGTCCCTCCAGGCCACGCCTCCAGCACTGGGGATTACAGTTCAGCATGAAATCTGGGTAAGATGAATGTCCAAATTCTGTCAGCATGTTTTTACAGATATAACACTATAGAGTCCTTAGACTTTTATGTCCCTCTGTTTTCAAGATCAATTCCTAGAAGAGTTTTATGGTCAAAAGGTATGACAGTTTTAAAGACTGATGATGTAAATTACCAAATTGTTTTCTAGAAAGAGTACCAGTTACCTTCCCAGTGGCTGAGTATGGGAGTACCCATTTCCTGTATCTTGCCAACACGTGGTGTTATTGAAAAACAAAGTGAAATACGCTTTGTCCATTTGATAGGTGAAAAATTTAAACATTTATTTCTTTTATTAAGTTTGAGCATAGTCTCGTTGTGACTGTCGATATTTCTTTTATGACATGCTTGGGACCTTTGTGCATCTGCTTATGTTATTCATAACTAACACTGCTGCCTGTGTTGTCTGGGCTGTCTTGTGAGAGAAGGCCCTGGCCCTGCTCTGGACAAAGAAACTGAATTACGCAGAGATGATCTCTCAGTGTCAGTGTAAGGACTGGGCTCAGCTGCAGCCCCTGGTCCCCTTCTGCCCTGCGTGGCATACATACGGACAGGGCATCCGCTCCTGCCAGCAGTGCCATGGGGTAGACACCTGCCCTCTGTGTCTGAGCCACACGGTCCCCACTGCTGACGCTTGCTGTGGTCGGTGTCTGTGAGGACACTGTATGAGGGGCAGGGAACTGCCAGCTGGCTCAACGCCCGGTGATGGCAGCAGGGCTTTGGTGTTTGTGTCCGTTCTGCCTGCTGCTGTGCGGGCTGTGGAGTGAAGATGACTAGACATTGACCTGCTGGGCGTCTTTATAAGGTCCTGCGTTCTGCATCTTGAACGGAAAGGAATGTGCTTAGCCGTTTGATAAATACTTTTCTCAATACGTATATGTGTGTGTATGAGTGTGTGTGTGTGTGATATATATGTGCGATATGTTTATTTGTGATACAGATATTTTCTGGGTGTTTAGAAGTAATACAGAAATAGCAGTAATTAAAATATATAACTTAGAAGTGAAAATCCAACTAACGCAGCTAAAGTAATCACTCCTAACAGTTTGCTGTAATCTCAGGTGCTAAAGATATTCTCTGTGTAACTGTCTTTAAATAAGTTCTTTTTTTTTTTTTTTTTTTTTTTTTCCCCCCGAGATGGGGTTCTCACGTTGTTGCCCAGGCTGGTCTCGAACTCCTGAGCTCGAGTGATGTCCTGTCTTGGTGTCCTGGCCTCCTGAGTAGCTGGGATGATAGACGTGAGCTACCATGCCCAGCTGAAGAAGCTCTTTTGCTATCATGGGACCAGCGTGACTGATGCTGACAGCCAATCTTCTCTCATGTTTTAAAGGTGTAATTGTACTGTCATAGGATGGGAATAACTAGTGCTCACCGCCGAGTTTCTCTTAGGTTTTGAAGGTGTAATTGTTAAAGTGAAGCATCTCTCTGATTCTTTCCAAGATCGGTTTAAAAACTATGAATCGAATTTAAATATTTTCTGTTTGTAATAGTTTAAGGATTTTTTCTTTGTCTTGATTTGTGACAGGTCCTTCAGTGGGCGAGAGGTCATATCAAGTACGGTGTTCTTCACATTCATGGCCTCTACACAGACCCCTGTGGGATGGTATTGGATCCATCAGGATATAAAGATGTCACTCAGGACCCGGAAGTCATGGTATGGTCCGTCCTAATTAGCACTGGTGCATCCTCTGGGGAATTTGTGGTGACCCCTGGCCATTTGGCTGCAGTCAGAGTGGTATCTCAGGCTCCAGGCCACTGTGTCCTTCAGGTTGGTCCTTCACACAGTTGCTGAGGGAGGGGCCGCATCTCTTGTTCTCCTCCGTGTCTCTGGGCCCTGCATGGTGCCTCCATGTTGAATAGATGCTCAGTGAATATTTGTTGGAGGAAGGAGTCTATGATTCCTTGAAAAGCATAGATCTGACCTTACTCTCTCCAAAAGCCCCAGCCATTCTGTGGTTCTCACCTGCCCAGGTATACAGTGAAACTCCTCAGCATGACATACAGGGCCCTGTGCAGTCTAGAATGTTCCCCACTTCTCTTTGTTCTTCTATACATCTTCTGGTCTGAAATGCTCTACTCTCCTTCCTGTAGTTTTATTTTTATGTAATTAATTAATTTATTTATTTTTTGAGTTGGAGTATTGCTCTGTTGCCCAGGCTAGAATGCAGTGGTGTGATCTGGGCTCACTATAGCCTCCACCTCCCGGATTCAAGTGATTCTCCTCCTTCAGCCTCCTGAGTAGTTGGGATTATAGACATGCGCTACCACGCCTGGCTAATTTTTGTATTTTTCAGTAGATAGGGGTTTCACCATGTTGGTCAGGCTGGTCTTGAACTCCTGACCTTGTGATCCACCCGCTTTGGCCTCCCAAAGTGCTGAGATTATAGGCATGAACCACTGTGCCCAGCTCCTTCCTGTAGTTTTAAAGCTTCATTCTTGGCCTAGCATAGTGGCTCAGGCCTGTAATCCCAGCGCTTTGGCAGGCCAAGGTGGGAGGATCACTGGAGTCCAGGAGGGAGAGGCTGCAGTGAGCTGGGTTTGCACCACTGCACTGCAGCCTGGGCAACAGAGTGATACCTCATTTCTAAAAAAATAAAAGTAAATAAAACTTCATTCTCTGTGAGGCTTTTTTTTCTTCTTCTTCTTCTTAAATAGACAGGGTCTTGCTCTGTGGCCCAGGATGAAGTTCAGTGGCATGATCAAAGCTCACTGCAGCCTTGAACTCCTGGGCCCAAGGGTCCTTCTGCCTTAGTCTCCCAAGAACCTGGGACTGCAGGTGTGCACCCCCACTCCTGGCCGTGAGGCCTTCTTGATGCCCTGGACACAGTGAAGTGAGGGCAGCGTGCTTCTGTTAAGCACTGAGAAACTTGGTGTCTTTGTGGATTCCCGCAGGAGCACACGGCCAGGTGTTCTGTTCCTCTGGGCTCCTGCCTGGGCCTGTGTCATGCTGTGGCAGGTGTCAGTAAGATGAGTGATTGGGCAGATGCTTTTCAGTTGCACAATTAATACTACTTGGTTATAGGAAATACCTGCTGAGATTGAGTCTCTCTGAGATACTTGGTTAGCTGAATTGATGAGTCTGCTGCTTGCCTGAGTGACCCTACACAATCTGCTTTCCCTGTGCCCATCCCACCTCCTCAGTCCCTGTCACTGATCCCCTCCCCAGCTCTCCTGCCCTCATTCACAAAACCGTCTCCTCTTGACCACCCTCCCAGCCCCTGCAGGAATTCCCACATATGACCCATTGAGGTAGACATTAGCTTTAGGGTGTTGCATAATTCTGAACTGAAAACATCCGAATGTCCCCATTTTATGTTTTAGTCATTTAAAGTTGTACCTAATTTGAGAAAATTTGAATTGGGTGACTGCCCTGGCGAGTGGGCGGGGTGGGTTATGGATCGGCCTTGCTGCAAGGGGCGTGCGCCCTGCCACCCACCTCGGCCACAGACCAGTTACCCCAGCTCAGGTGGGGAGAGGCAGGCTCAGCCCAGCTTTGGTCTTTGCTGCCACAGGCTGCTGCTGTGGGGTGACCTGAGTGCCATGTTGGGAGAGGATCCTGTCCTTCCATGTTCCTCACTGTGGCCCTGGGAACAGCCTGTCAGGGGTCAGTGATTTAAAAGCACATGCATGTGACTTGGTTAGTCGTAAGCTCTTGCTGTCTTTCAGATGAGCACCTGATTTCTTCATTGGCTTTTTCTAGGAAGTCCTCCAGAACTTATACCGTACCAAGTCTTTTCTGTTTGTGGGCTGTGGAGAAACCCTTCGTGATCAGATATTCCAGGCCCTCTTTCTTTACTCTGTACCGAATAAGGTGGATTTGGAGCACTACATGCTTGTACTGAAGGAGAATGAAGACCATTTCTTTAAGCATCAGGCAGATATGCTTTTGCACGGAATCAAAGTTGTATCCTACGGGGACTGTTTTGACTATTTTCCAGGATATGTGCAAGACCTTGCCACTCAGATCTGCAGACAGCGAAGCCCAGGTATAGAGTCTGCCTTCACTTTTTTTTTTTTTTTTTTTTTTTTTTCTTGAGACCTGAGTCTCGCTGTGTTGCCCAGGCTGGAGTACAATAGCATGATCTTGGCTCACTGCAACCTCTGCCTCCTGGGTTCAAGTGATTCTCCTGCCTTCCAAGTAGCTGGGATTACAGGCATGTGCCACCATGCCCGACTAATTTTGTGTTTTTAGTAGTGACCGTGTTTCCGCATGTTGGCCAGGCTGGTCTCAAACTCCTGACCTTAGGTGATCCACCTGCTTCAGCCTCCCAAAGTGCCGGGATGACAGGTGTGAGCCACTGCGCCCGGCCTGTCTTCACTTTTCAAGTACGAAACCCATTGGGCTCTTTTAGTTGTTACTCTCTCTTTTTGATGTAATTCACATACCCATAAAATTCACCAATCTTCTGGTTATTATTTTTTCAAACTGCCTCTGTAATTTAAAATTAGAAGATTGAAGTGATTGGTGTCCCAGTGACAAGTCTGTAACTAAACTTTAACACCAGGCTGGGACTGGTGGCTCATGCCTGTAATCCCACCATTTTAGAAGGCTGGGACAGGAGGATTGCTTGAGCTCAGGAGTTTAAGACCAGCCTGGGCAACATAGGGAGACCTGGTCTCTACAAAAAACATTTTTTAAAAAATTAGCTGGGTGTGGTGGTGCACATCTGTGATCCCAGCTACTTGAGAGGCTCGGGTGGGAGGATTGGTTGAGCCCAGGCGTTCTAGGCTACAGCAAGCTGTGATCAGGCCACTGCATTCCAGCCTGGGCATTGGAGCAAGACCCCATCTCTAAAAATAAAACATAAAGTAACCTTGAGGTTTACAGCTGTGCACACATGTGTACCTGGACACATTTATTCACGCTTCAGGTTTCCTTAACCAGGAAAGGAAACTACCAGGCCAGCTTTATCTGTTGTGATACTTCACACTTGAAAGAGGCAGATAGCTCATGTTTGTGTCCTTCATTGCAGCGGAAAAGTTCAGACTTCAGAAGCACAAAATGATTTCATGAAGACTTGACTTCTTTTTTCAAGTAACATATTTTTCCTGTTCTGAATGCAGTACCTCTTTTAAGTAACGCTTCTTGGCCCCTGTTTTGAGAAATTGCTTGTCTGTCAGGAATGACCAAGATAATTGAGAACTTCTTAAAATTGGTCATCTTGACATAAGGGAATTGATAGCTGCACATCTGGCATCATAAAACACTGCTGATGGCAAGTTTGGAAAGGCCTGTGCGGGCTCTTGTTGAGTTGTAACTGAAAGCCCAGGCACAGAGGCAGGTGTGTGACCAGCTATGAACTTGGAGACTGGAGAATGCACAGATAATCCAAAAGCTAAGGTTTTTGTTGTTTTTTTAACCACTATCGTTTCTTTTCAGAATGGCTAATTAGCAAAATGGACCAAAGGAATTTCCATTTCCATGAATGAAAGTGTAATGAGGGCAACAGCATCTTATTAAGGGCAGAAGAGGGGAGCTCATGCGTGCCAAGGTGTTACCCTCCACTGGGAGTTCCATATTCTTGACCTTAGTTAGCTTTTAGTGGCAGCATGCAGTGCTGGTAGGTAGATGATTTCATAGACAAGACAGGCCGAGCTGGCACAGGCTCATAACGTGCCCAGTTAGTGCCCAGACATTTTGAAGCTGGGGTTGGGATCCTAGCCTGACTGCAGAGCAAAAAACACCATTTGGTGCACCCTGGCACCAGGCCACATGCGTGGCTCTGCAGAGAGGCAGGCAGTAGGCTTTCCTCATCTCTGCCCCTGTCCACTGTCCCTTCCACCCCTAGACCCCCCGGAGTACCGGACCCAGTGGCAGCCCGCATGTGCTTGGGCTCCTGGAGGAGCTGAGCAGATTCTGTCCTGCCAAAGCTCCCTTTCCAGGTCATGGCAGCCAAGTGGATTGAAGCTGCCAGAAGACTGCAAGATCTTTGGGAGTTTTAATCTGTGACTGTGTTATGAAGGACAATTGTACTCGAATTCATGGAGTGCCACTCCTGATGGAGGAGGAGGCCGACTGATAGTGACAGTAATGCTAGTGACCACGGACACCGCGCCATGCTCTCTGCCACCTGGCTCCTTCAGTGAGTCCTCATGCCAAGCCTGGGAGGTGGAGAAGAAAGGGCAGCCAGTAGTCCAGGAGCCCACAGCCCACACCGGCTGAGCTTCCCAGAAGCCTCTTCCCAGTCACTGCCTCAGAGTGGACTGAGGAGGACGAACTTTGGCGTTTCGGCTCCACTGACTGCTTTTCTTTCTCCTTCAGATGCTGATCGAGTGGACAGCACCACACTATTGGGTAAAGCAGATCCTTCTTCTTGCCAGCCTGTGTTTTGCCTACACGTGCCATTGTCTCCTGTCACTAACTGTAAAATCGTCAACGTTTGTTTTTCACATTAAATGGTTGGCCTGTATTAAGACAGCCCCACTGAAGATGATAAATAGGCATGCCTTAGCATGGCCCTTACCACACCAAGAGACTACAAGCCATCCCTTTGAGGAGGGAGCACAGCCGAATCACACGTGGGCCAGCTGGCTCCTGAGAAGAATTTCTTGCCCTAGAACCAAAGAGTGACAGGGGACTTGGAACAGCAGGCTCTGTTTGTGTGGTACCATTTGGTGCAAGATGCAGTGCCTTAGAATTACCCAGCTCCTGAGAAATTCTCATTTCAGGGGTCCGAGCTTTCACACAGAAGCTTTTGTATTTCATACTTGTTTGAAATGTGAACGCTTTTCTTGCTGGGCTCAATTCTGCCTGTTTATAAATTAACAAGACTCAGTGGCTGTGAGTGCCCTCCTGTGTGTGAAGTGGGCCCCAGGTGTTTTTCCTCTTGCTGAGTCATTTGGGTAAAAGGGGCCCTTGTCGGTGGTGCGGAGGCCTCGGTGCGCAGCCCCGTTCTCCCAGTGTGTTCACAGATGAGAAAATGCGCTTCGGTGTGGGAGCCCCTGGCATCGCATCCGTGTTAGTGGGGCAGGAAGTATAAAACCAGCGCAGTCAGCTTCCTATTTCCTCCTATTACAGTTGCTTTCTTAAATGCGACTCTTGGAACCATCGTTTTCTTTTGAAAGCAGCAGTAATGTGGCGGAGATCATCTGTAGCATGGGGTAACGTTGATTTGGCCAGTGCTTCAGGAAGGTCATATTTATAAACTGCCTTGGCGGGTGGATTGTAAATAAACAAGCTTCTTACGAAGTTTTCCTCTTTCAGGTAATACATGCCAGGACTGTGCAAAGAGGAAGTCAGAAGAGAATGGAATTGAAGTTTCAAAAAAACTCAGACAACCAGATACTGGTATTGTGTCTTTTTTTTTGTGGGGAGCTGCCTCAGGTCTGGCTTATTGGTGGGCGTCTTCAGGGGCAGTGCCATACTCTCACGCCCCAGGCCCGAGTGGGAGGTGCATACATTCTGTCAGGGCCACAGGGCACAGGAGGCTTGGCAGAGAACCTGACTTGTCACCCCAACCCCATTCCAACTCCTCAGAGGGAAATGTCTGTTGATTTAGGTGAGCATGTTATGAAAGTGCAGCAGGCAAAAGGGTGCTCTCTACAAAAAGAAAAGTTTAAAAAGGCGAACAAAAAGTGCCCAGATCATATAAGGTCAGCTCAGCACAGTTTTGCAAAGTGAGCTCTCGCATCTAATCACACCCAGTTCTGGAAGCAGCAATGCCACTACCCCGTCTGCCACTCCCCAGCCTCCCCCAGCCCTAAGGGTGACCACTAGCCTGATTCATGCCACCTGAGTCTCTGGAGAAAGCCACTTTAAACCATTTGAGATTTGTTGTCTCTGTGACAGGCTAAGCTTTAAGTGATTGAACTATTTATCTAAACAGTGTGTTTGAATGGGCCCCTCTGTTGAGCTGGGAAGGGCTGTCTCGATGGCTGGTGCCCTCCCTCTCTGCCCCTTCTCCTCTTCCTGCCAGGTGTGGATAGTGCTGTGTGTTCCTTCTCATTCTTTAAATAACATACTTAAGCCACACTTCCCAACATGAAGCTCGGGCTGGATGGGCCCGGCTTCTGTATCCCGCCCTAGAACCAGCCGGCTTCCCCGTTGTGTCCGTCTCTGTGGTGTCAGGACAGAAAGGAAATGAGACCCCCAGGCTGTCTGTAGTTTGACTGTAAAAGTTGGAAAGCAAAAGCATTGACTTGATTAAAACACCGTCAGTGTTCTTTCCTGCCTAGCTACCTTGTGGTCGTGTTCATGGGCCCAGTGCCACTGTGCCTGTGCCAGTGGTAGGACGTGTTGTCAATGTCAGCGTCGAATGTGGCTTGTTCCTTACATTCCATTCTCCTATTTCTTACTGTTTCATATTGTGGCCTTAAGACATGTGTTACTTCTTATTTTTTGAGGAATTCTTAGGTTCTTCTTTCCCCTTTGTTTTTCAAAAAATAACATTTCCCAATATTCTTAAATGTATACATTTCCTTAGCTTTCAGAACTGAATATGAAAAGTTTTTAAAAATATGTCCATTCTCTTCATCCTGCCAGCCTGCATCTCCCAGACACCTCCTCCTGGTCGGCTGCTGCGGGACTGTCACGTGCCTGCCTCCCGAGCTTCCCTACTTCCTTGAGATGGAGGCCCAGGTCTTCCTTATTCTTGCCCTCCCTTCTCCCAGTCCACACTGCTAGTGCCTCCTGAAGCCGCTTCTGCAGACCCAGGTGTGGCGTCGCCTCTTGAGCACCACGTGCCTGCAGGCGTCTGTGCTGTCCTCGTGCCCGTCGGTGGTTTTGGCTTGGGATTCTTGGGTATGATTTCCCTGGACTCCACTGTCTGAAGACCAGGTTTCCTGTGAAGAGGGTCTGATGGGAACCTGGTTCCCAGTGGTTTGAAGATGCCTATTCCTTTTTTTCCTGGGAGTTTTTAGGATCTTCTTTTCCCTGATGTTTAGATACTCAATGAGGATGAGTGTGGAAATCTTTTTTACCTGCCTTACTCAGGTGTTCTCTTTCTTCTTCCATTTCTCCTGGAATAGTCTGTGATTCTCTCCTTTCTTTCCATCTTCTCTATTCTCCCTTTCTGGAAGTCATACTACCTGGGATCTCCTGGATTGATTTCCACTGTCTTGTAAATTTTCTCTGATGTCTCTTAATATTCATTTTCTCACACTTCCTGGGGATTCTCAAATGATGCTAGTCCTTGGGTTAAATTTCTCCTTTGCCTGTGATCTTGTTTCTGAGAGTTCTTATTTTCTTAGTTACCCTTTCCCAGCATCTGCTTTCTTTGGCTGTGAGAACTCTTGAGACAGAAGTCAACCTGCTTGTCTGATCCCGCTACATTCCTGAAAACGTTGGGAGAGAGGATTTTCATACAATAGGAGTTTATATTTTATTATATAAGTAAACCCAGGTAAAACACTCTTAAATACCTATATAGCAGTCCACCAAAAATTTCTGAGAGCTGTGAAGCGTCCAGCTTAATCAATTACCTCTTCATTGAACATTGAAATCCTTCAGTGGGTGTGTTGGAGCAGTATTGTGTCCCTGCATGCCCTTCAACACCACAGGGGTCATGTGCAACAGCGCATGTTATAAAGATTCATAGTGAATGCAAACTTAGTTGAAAAAAATAAGGCGGTTCTAAAAGGGCCATTTTCAGAGTGAATCACAGCGCAAGGAGGGCTGGCGGCAGGGGGTGGGGGTGCCACAGCGTCCTGCCGTCCAGGGGCAGGGAAGGTGAGAGTGAGCTGGTGTGGTCCTGTGAGGGGCAGCTGTCGCAGACTTGGCATCCTCTCGTTTAGTTTTATACAACTTCACTCAGGTGCGGTGGCTCATGCCTGTAATCCCAGCACTTCAGGAGGCCGAGGCAGGCAGATCACCTGAGGTCAGGAGTTTGAGACCAGCCTGGCCAATGTGGTGAAACCCCGTCTCTACTAAAAATACAAAAATTGCCAGGCGTGGTAGCACACACCTGTAGTCCCAGCTGCTTGGGAGACTGAAGAAGGGGCATCACTTGAAGCAGGGAGGCGGAGGTTGCAGTGAGCTGAGATTACACCAGTGCACTCTCCAGCCTGGGTGACAGAGTGAGACTCCATGTAAAAAAAAAAAAAGTTTTATACAACTTCAAGTGCTCTTAGGGGCACACACGTTTTAGAGAATTCGATTTTGATAGTGTTTGGATCAAATTGTTTGCAGTCTTTTTGCAAATATTTGGAGCTAGTAGAACCATCCGTAACTAAGTAAAAACAAAACACAAAACTGGTGTTCTGTGAATTGTTTCCTCTGGGGAAGGTGGTTCTTTACCACTGCTATCTTTCATGCTCCTTCTTTTGTTTTCTGCGTATCTGGGCTTCTCTAGTGCCTGCTGACAAGAACGAAGGCCCAGGCGATTTTCCTCCGTAGATTGGCTTTCTTCTGTTGTGTGTACGTAGATTTTGTTCCCCTGTGGCCTACCTCTGACTGGTGTGCACATCAGCTGCAGGGCCTCCTGCCTGGTAGACTTTGCTACAGAGCACTGGGCAGGTGTTGTCTTCAGTGCCTGTGAGATCTGTGCTCCTAGACGCCATCACCTGCACCTGCAGCCCCAGCTCTCCCCAGGCAGTCATGTCTCCTTAGGGCGAAGCCCCTGGCCTGTGTTGTACAGAAAGCCTTGGCCTGTCCTGCTTGTGAGAGAGAGAAGCCAAGCCTGGAGAGCCCAGAGGAGTTGACAGCTCACTCTTCCTATTTCAGCAGGCTCTCTCACTGTATGTTTGTTGAAACTGCCCCATCGTCAGATCCACTAAGAAAGAGCGTCCATGTTCAAGGGTTGAAATTCCCAGATATTTGCAAATGTAATGTCATCACTTACTTGATCCCCTGATAGTATTGATAATTACACAAGGCCATTTCCGGATAGCGGCTACTGTTTCCATTTTAGAGGGATTTTCAGTCTTCAGCACATAAGAACAACTGTAAAAGCAGTTTCTGAAATAGAAATCTGTAAATAACTTTTTAGCTGGACTTTAACCCTTTGGAATTTTGTTCTTTTATTTAAACAGATGATGCTGGAGGGTCTTGAAATACTTAAAACCAGTAAAACTTGCAACTTGAAAACCAGCCTTCTGTAACCACAGTGCCATGCCCAAACCAAGAGGAATGTACGGAGAACTCCACGTGGATCTCCGACTGCGAAACAGTCACATACACCAAGAGAGCCACATGGGTGTGTGGCCCTCAGGGCTGGGTGAGAGGGCTCCCGTGTGTTGAACCGTGCAGGAGGTGACACGGACACACTTCAGGTGGACTTTGCGAGGACTGATGGACAGCTACCTCAGGGGCCAGAATCAGTGGGAAGGGGTGGAAACTGGTGTTCCCGTTCCCATCTGACAGGCTCACTTTTTCCTAATAAAAGGGGAGAGTAAAGACTGTCCAGGCAATAGTAGTTACCAAAGAGAAAATAAGGGAAAAAAAAAATTATATATATATGTGTGTGTGTATGTGTATGTATATGTGTGTGTGTGTGTGTGTGTGTGTATATATATATATATATATATATATATATGTTCTTTTTTTTTTTTTTTTTTTTTTTTTTTTTTTGAGACGGAGCCTTGCTCTTTCGCCCAGGCTGGGGTGCAGTGGCGTGATCTTGGCTCACTGCAACTTCCACCTCCTAGGCTCAAGTGATTCTCAGGCTTCCGTCTCCTGAGTAGCCGAGATTACAGGTGTCTGCCACCACGCCTAGCTAATTTTTGTATTTTTAGTAGAGACAAGAGTTTCACCATGTTGGCCAGGCTGGTCTTGAACTTGACCTCAGATGATCTGCCCGCCTCAGCCTCCCAAAGTGCTGGGAATATAGGCATGAGCCACTGCGCTGGCGAAATAGACACGTTTTATAATTTCGATGTGAAAACATGTTACTATAGAAAACATTTTAAAGGTATGTTTGTTCCACTGTTAAGTCGTAAAGAATGAATCCACTCGTGAAAATGGTATGTTTTTAGAAAGAACACCTGAATCAAAAGGGCTTCTTTGGAATTAGGTTGTTTTAGTAACTTATGTTCCAAAGAAACACAGGTCTGATGTTGCTAAGAACTGTGAAATCGGAAGAGCTGGAGGCCCCTTTTCAGAGTTCAGGCCAGCATTGTGCAGGGCCACTGCGGGACTGACAACCAGGACAGCGCAAGTGATGCACAAGACCAGGTTTCAAACGTTGTAAATTCCAAGCTTTGCAAGTCTTTATTCGCTGGGGTAAGATGCAGTCTTTCTGTTATTATTTCTTAAACTTCTCTTCCATGGCCCATATCAAGGGAGTTTGCACAGTGAGGGAGGCAAAACTTGAAAGGGGCCTGCAACACTTTAAACCTTTTCAGGGTTCACTCACATGAAACAGCTGTGCTGGGCACTCTGCTGGTGCCTAGGGAGCTTCCCTGACTGACCTGGCAGAGCTTCCGTGGTGATGCATGAGTGGCACTAAAGTGGAGGGTTCTCTTTGGAAACAAGCAGCCCTGCTTGGTTTCAGTCTGAGGCCACTTCAATGTGGCATTTCTTACCAAGCCCTGTGACACTCCCCATTGATGACTCCCACAGGTACAGAGAAGGTTAAGAACAGGAAACAGAAGGATGGGATGCATACAGAGGGACAGAGCCCAGAGACCTGCCAAAGGCTTTTTTTTCTTTTTGATGCATGGAAAACGCATCTTTTATGCCACTCCGGCCATAAATAAAATGATAACTTCAACCCTGTGTGCTCAGTGTTTCAGCTACGCCAAGGCTTGCTAGAATGTATTTAATGAGAATTTTTAGCTCGAGTTGCCACCCAAATGTGAAATCAATTTAATGTGTACTTGAATGTGTTTAAATGTTTTAAACAGAAAACATAAATGATTTTTTTTTTTTTTTGCAATCAGGGAATATCTGAATCTGAGAGCTGGCCAGACACAGGGTATAGCAAAATTACAAGCGTAGAGGATGCTGTGCACTGGGATGGAATGCTTGTTACAGCGCATTTTAAGAAAAGCTTTGCGTGCTCTGCTGGAGGACGCAGCCATGTTGCTGTACCACACGGATGCATCTATAGTTCGTTCTGTTGTATGCTCGTTACAGAATGTAAGTTTATTCCAATGCAATCGATAGATTAGAGGCAACTCCAATAAGGCACTTGTGTATAGTTGAGTCAGTGGGAAACATCACATCAGGAGACAACAAAATTGGCCCTGCTGTTTCCTGCCTCAAGCTAGAAGAGCTATTACATTTTAAAATGGTTACATTTTAAGGCAGGGCATGGTAGCTCATACCTGTAATCCCAGCACTTTGGCAGGCTGATGTGCGTGGATTACTTGAGGTCAGGGGTTTGAGATTGGCCTGGCCAACATGGTGAAACCCCGTCTCTACTAAAAATATAAAAATTGGCCTGGCATGGTGGCGCACACCTGTAGACCCAGCTACTCAGGAGCCTGAGGCAGAAGAATTGCTTGAACCCGGGAGGCAGAGGTTGCAGTGAGCCGAGATTGTGCCAGTGTACTCCAGCCTGGGCAATAGAGCAAGAACAGGGGACAAGTTAAAGTGCCTTCTGCTGTCTGCAGCTCATGGAGGTCGGCTATCTCATTGTACTGGAAGTCCCCTCAGGGAAGGAACCCAATCTTTTTGGGATGTAATATCCCCCTCACAGAGTACATTCTTCTTGTTACATGAAGGTGTTGTCAAACAGATACTTTTACTCAGTACAGTGGTGCAGTCTCAGCTCACTGCAACCTCTGCCTCCCGGGTTCAAGTAATTCTTCTGCCTCAGGCTCCTGAGTAGCTGGGACTATAGGTGTGCGCCGCCATGCCAGGCTAATTTTTATATTTTTAGTAGAGACGGGGTTTCACCATGTTGGCCAGGGTAGTCTTGATCTCCTAAGCCCAAGCAGTCCACCCACCTCAGCCTCCCAAAGTGCTGGGATTACAGGTATGAGCCACCATGCCCAGCCTTTTTTCATTTTGAAATGGAAATGTACTGAAAGTGCAACTTTCCTTCACATAATAATGTTTTTAAGTGGAGATCGTCAGTTGTCACGAGAAATTGTTCTTATTTCCTTAACTGAAATTCTATTCAGAAAAATTCAAATTGCACTGAAACAGACATCATTCAGTTTCACCATTAAACTTTTTTTGGCTTCAAAAAGTCTACATTGGAGAATTTTTTGAGTTGGAAATTAGAACATTTTTTATTGTTATTTTCAATACTAACATAGTTTCTCTGAAAAATTTCCCAAAATCCAGCTTCAGAAGTTTATTAACAATCTTATAACTAATATATTTAAAACCCAAGAGTGGCTCCCTTAAAGATTACTTGGGTACAAGGCAAGATCAGAGTGAAGATGAAGCAGAATTCAAAATTTTTCCAACCAGACTAGCTTATTTCAAAATAGAAGCTAGCATTACAGTACAAATTCTATCTTTTCTCTTTTTTAAAACTCATTGAACACCAGCTCTCACTGAAAACTCCCCACTAGAATGGGGTGTGAACACTCAAATGAGGTGAGCTACAGCCTCTCTGGCTAGAACTACTAAGATTTCTCTTAAGGGGCTCCCAGGCTGGTCCTGCTTGCTCCAGAAGTCTGCTGTGGAGGAGCTGGTTGAGTATTGGAGTGGGAAATGAACAGTGATCGGGCCGCCACCGCAAGACTGCCCCTAGAGGGACTCTCGGTATCTCTTGCTGCTTTCTTGGCCTTCAGTGTCTGGATACTGGGCAAGATCTAGGGTCAAAATTCGGCTGAACATGCAGTCGTCGTACTAAAATGGAGAGAAGACAGTTAATACTTTTTCCCTAATTAGGGAAACTTTTATTAACATCAAATAGGAGCCATTAGTGAGTCTAGAATTGCATTCAAAAGGCATCTTCTTAAACCTAAAAAGGCATCATCTGCATTTACGTCAGTTGTGGGTTTTCTGTTACTGTCTGGTATGAGAATTTCCATTATTCATGCATTATATTTCCAGGTGGTCCCCTAACATTCTGTAGGCACAAGAAGGTAAATTAATTTTTATCTTTGCTTAAAAGAAAATGCAGGAAGTAAATCCTAACAACCGTCCAAAACCAAGTGACCTCAACCTAGTGTGCTCTACTGAACTAGTTGCTCTACTCCATCAGTTCAGGTTAGTATTTGCAATGGCTTAAGAAAGGTGTGTTCACGTTTTAGAAGTTACTATACAACTTGGAACTTCTAATGAATTTGTTTTGTCCTCTGATACTTTTGGAGGATAAATGGTTCCTTGCTGTATCACCGTACAATTCGTTTTTGCTTAAAACACTGAAATATTACAGAAATAAGAAGTATAATAGTTTATGTAAATTAACAGACTATTTCACAAAACAAAACTATCCTACTTACTGTTCTGCAATTCTCTTTGCTTTTTTCCACTTAAAATATATATTGTCACTATCATGCACACTTAAACGCCTTACAGGAAAAAAAAAATTTATACATATATATGTGTGTGTGTGTCAAGGAAAACACCAGTAGTTACTTTTAATCTTACTTGATTAAAAAAATCATTTAAGCCTCAGACTCTATTGGGAAGTTTTAATTATAAAAGGAAAGCCCGGTGGATGTCAGGGTACTAAGGGGAGTTGACAGTGGATACACTCCTCTCCCCTCTAATTTATCTTTACCTCGGGATAGATGCCGATTAGTGCATCGGCTCTGGAATAGAATTCTTCTTTTAGGGAGATGACTATCATCTGAAAGTGGTCTTGAGTTTGCTCTTTGATGTAACTTGACACCTGGAAGAAATAAAGTACACATTTCTCTAGGAAGGAAAGGCCTTGTTTGGGCTCTGGGACAGTGACTGCATGTCTGAGTCTAGTCAGTTTAGGTGAATGAGGACTTATCCACCTTACTGACAGTTCAATAAATCCACAACAACTGAAGAAATGGAAATAGATTCTACAATGAGAATTAAACCTATGATCTAATACTTTAAAGTGTTAAGGAATAAAGCTCCAACTTAAGATACTGTGATGTGAACAGGCAATCAGCGTTTGTAACAAAAGAAACTACCACTCAAAGTAATTTTTGAGGGTGAAAAAGGGCTGGTATTTAAAATTCTAACTTCCAGGCCGAGCACGGTGGCTCACACCTTTAATCCCAGCACTTTGGAAGGCCGAGGCAGGCAAATCACCTGAGGTCAGGAGTTCAAGACCAGGCTGGCCAACATGGTGAAACCCCATCTCTATTAAAATTACAAAAATTAGGTTGGCATGGTGGCAGGTGCCTGTAATCCCAGCTACTCAGGAGGCAGAGGTTGCAGTGAGCCAAGATCATGCCACCACACTCTAGGCTGGGCGGCAGTGAGAGATTCTGTCTAACAACAAACTCCCAACTTCCTGTTTTGCCAAATCAAAGCCTGAAGGGAAAAATAGAACAATTGATTATGGATTA